CAGTGATGGAGTGAATGATGGTGAAAGTTTTTCTTTTTCGGGCCACCCTGCCTTGGTGGGAATCAGCCAGTGTGTTAATAAAAAAAAAAGTAAATAATTTGTAATTTTTATTCACACAAAAAATAGAAGATTTACTGTTATGCAGACTACTGCATTATTGTAATAATTGTATAAATAATGTCAAACCATTGGAATGGACAGTGATGTCATTTGTTTACTCTTGAACATCGCCAAAGAATCGAACATTTCTGCTACTTTGAGCTCAATTTCAAGGTACAGTGGAAAATCAAATATTGAACTGCTTCCAACTCAACCAATTTATGTAAGTGTATTTTTATAGTGCTTTTATAAGTGTATTTTTGAGGGTCTAAAATGAACTAATCTAATTTACATTATTCCTGATGGGAATAAATTCGTTTGGTAATGGCACTCGAACAGCCATCTGGAACGAAGAAAGTTTGATATTTGAGGTTCTACTGTACTTTTCGTTGTGAAACCAATCAAAATCATATCTGTTTCTGTAATATATCTTCCATTCTATCAAATGAGACCAAAAAAATGAGAATACAACCATAAAAACCATACAAAAATACCGCTAAGGGGTGCCTAATGGCTTAGAAGTGAACTCCATTATTTATGGTCCGATTTCTTTCATTTTTTGGTGTACGTTAAGAAGCATCTTTCTGTCATACATTGCCCAAGTTTCAATAAGATAGCTCAACAAACAAATGAGATTCAGTTCTCTAGATTAAGAGCATGACCCCATCACCGGTGTCAAGGAACCTCCCTTGAGGCCCACTCACTTATGGAAATTTCGCTCACGTATGGAAGCTAAAAATCAACCGAGCGACTGCTTGTATTTGAAAAACCTTGCACATGGATGTGCTCGCAAGTGGAGGTTCCACTGTATGTGTATGTTGTGCCGAATAGGTAAAACTTGCTATTTTGGCTTAACTAGTGATGCTCTTCTTGCCGAATAAGGCAAGCGAAAATTTGTGTATGCAATAATTTCACAAAAATCATTCTGATGCTAATGAAAAAAATATATTTCATTGTGTTTGTTTATTATTAAATTGTTGTAAACTTTTTTTTTTTAATGCATCGGCCATTTCCCACCAAGGCAGGGTGACCCAAAAGAAAGAAAAAATTAACATCATCATTCAACACTTTCACCATTACTCATATATAATCATTGTCTTTGCAGAGGCGCTCAGATACAACAGCTTAGATGTCCCTCCAAATTGCCAATATCCCAAACCCCTCCTTTAAAGTGCAGGCATTGTACTTCCCATTTCCAGGACTCAAGTCTGGCTAACTGGTTTCCCTGAATCCCTTCACAAAATATTGCCTTGCTCACACTCCAACAGCTCATCAGGTCCCAAAAACCATTTGTCTCCATTCACTCCTATCTAACATGCTCATGCATGCTTGCTGGAAGTCCAAAACCCTTGCCCACAAAACCTTCTTTACCCCCTCCCTCCAACCTTTTCGGGGACGACCCCTACCCCGCCTTCCTTCTCCTACAGATTTATACGCTCTCCATGTGATTCTACTTTGTTCCATTCTCTCTAAATGAGCAAACCACCTCAACAGCCCTTCTTCAGCCCTCTGACTAATATATTTAGTAACTCCACACCTCCTAATTTCCACACTATGAATTCTCTACATAATATTCACATCACACATTGCCCTTGGACACAACATCTCCACTGCCTCCAGCTGCCTCCTCACTGCAGCATTTACAACCCATGCTTCACACCCATATAAGAGTTTTGGTACCACTGTACTGTCATACATTCCCTTCTTTGCCTCCATGGATAACATTCTTTGTCTCCACAGTTACCTCAACATACCACTCACCTTTTCTCCTTCAGTTCTATGGTTAACCTCATTCTTCATAAACCCATCTGCTGGCAAGTCAACTCGCAAATAACTGAAAGTATTCACCTCCTCCATATGCTCTCCCTGTAATCTGATATCCAATCTTTCGTTACCTAATATTTTGTTATCCTCATCACTTTACTCTTTTCTATATTCACTCTTGATTTCCTTCTTTTACATACCCTACCAAACTCATCCACCAACCTCTGCAACTTCTCTTCTGAATCTCCCAAAAGCAGTGTCATCAGCAAAGAGCAAGTTTGACAACTCCCACTTTGTGTTAGATTCTTCATTTTTTAACCCCACACCTCTTGCCAACTCCCGAGCATTCATTTCTCTTACAACTCCATCTATAAATATATTGAACAACCATGGTGACATCCCAGATCCCTGTCTAAAACCTACTTTTACTGAGAATTAATCTCCCTCTCTCCTTCATTCTCTACCCTGAGCCTCACTTGCCTCGTAAAAACTCTTCAATGCCTTCAATAACCTACCTCCTATTCCATACATGTGCAACATCTGCCACATTGCTCCAGGGTCCTAGACTATTCAACATCTTACCATAAGTTATCAGAAACATGGCTGGAACAAGTGTAGAAGCCTTCAAGAGGAAACTGGACATAAATCTTCACCAGGTGCCAGATCAACCAGGCTGTAATGGATATGTTGGGCAGTGGGCCTCCAGCAGTAACAGCCTGGTTGATCAGGCAAACACCAGATGAGCTTGGCCCATGGCCGGGCTCTGAGAGTAGTGAAATCCTCGAAACTCTTCAAAGGTTGCCCCCCCTATCCACCCTATCATATGCCATTTCCAAATCCATAAATGTCACAAAAACCTCTTTACCCTTATCTAAATATTGTTCACCTATATGTTTCACTGTAAACACTTGGTCTGCACACCCCCCTACCCTTCCTAAAACGTCCTTGTTCATCTGCTATCCTGCTCTCTGTCTTACTCTTAATTCTTTCAATAATAACTCTACCATACACTTTACTGGGTATACTCAACAGACTTATTCCCCTATAATTTTTACACTCTCTTTTGTCCCCTTTGCCTTTATACAAAAGAATTATGCATGTTCTCTGCCAGTCCCTAGTTACCTTACCCTCTTCCATACATTTATTAAATAAAAATGCTAAACACTCCAAAACTATATCTCCACCTGCTTTAAACATTTCTATCTTTATCCCATCATTCCCAGCTGCTTTACTCCCTACTACCTAGGTAGTGGGTTGGTAGACAGCAACCGCCCAGGAAGGTACTACTGTCCTGTCAAGTGAGTGTAAAACGGAAACCTGTAATTGTTTTACATAATGGGTTTTCTTCTATTTTCGTGCTAGTTCTTGTTCTTGTTTGTTTCCTCTTATCTCCATGGGAAAGTGGAGCAGAATTCTTCCTCCATGAGCCATGTGTGTCAAAAGAGGCAACTAAAATGCTGGGAGCAGGGGACTAGTAACTGCTTCTCCTGTATACATTACTAAAGTTAAAAAGAGAAACTTTTGTTTTTCTTTTTTGGCCACCCTGCTTTGGTGGGATATGGCCAGTTTGTTGAAAGAAGAAAAGATTTACATTTTAACACAGTGGCCATCTCCCACAGAGGCAGGGCGACCCACAAAAAAGAAGAAACACTCGCTATCATTCACTCGATCACTGTCTTGCCAGAGGGGAGCTGATACTACAGTTCAACATTGCATATATTCCCACCCCTCCTTCAGAGTGCAGGCAATGTACTGCCCACCTCCAAGACTTAAGTCCAGCTAATTTGTTTCCCTGAATCTTTTCATAAATGTTGCTTTGCTCATACTCCACAAGCATGTCAAGTCATATAAACCACTTGCCTCCACTCACTCCTATCTAATATGCTCACACACACTTGCTGGATGTCAAAGCCCCTAGCGCACAAAACTGCCTTCACCCCCTCCCTCCAACCTTTCCTAGGATGATCTCTAACCTGCTTTTTGTCCACCACTGATTTATACATTCTCCAACTCATCTTATTTTGTTCCATCCTCTTTAAATGTCTGAACCACTTCAACAACTCTTCTTCAGCCCTCTGGATAATAATTTTAGTAATCGCTCACCTCCTCCTAATCTCCAAGTTATGAATTCTCTGTGTAATATTCACACCACATATTGCCCTCAGACATGACACCTTCACTGCCTCCAACCTCCTCCTTACTTCAGTTTTCATAATCTGTACTTCACACTTATATATACTTTCATACATTCCCCATTTTGCTTCTATGAAAAACGTTCCTTGACTTTACAGGTGCCTCAGTGCACCTCTTGCCTTCTTTCCCTTGTCAGTTGACCTCGTTTTTCATAGCCCCATCTGCTGACAAGTCCACTTCCGAATATCTAAACACATTCACTTCCTCCATACTCCCTAACTCCAGTCTGATATCCAGTCTTTCATTTCCTAAATTTTTTCTCACCCTCATCACCGTGCTCATTCCTATGATGAGGGTAACAAAAAATTTAGGTAATGAACAATTGGATATGAGATTGGAGGGAGGTAATATGAAGGAAGTGAATATGTTCAGATATATGTGAATGGAATTGTCAGCAGATGAGTCCATGAAAGACGAGGTGAACCATAGAATTGACGAGGGGGGAAAAAGATTGTGTATCAGATTGGATATCAGTAATGAAAGAGTAGATATCAGATTGGAGGGAGGGAATATAAAGGAAATAAATGTGTTCAGTTATTTGGGAGTGGACATGTCAGCAGATGGGTCCCTGAATGACCAGGTGAACCATAGAATTGATGAGGGGGAAAAGGTGAATGGTGCATTGAGGCACCTGTGAAGATAAAGAACATTATCCATATATGTATATTGTATAGATATAATAGAGTAAATAAGCCACATGGAGGAGCAGGACCATGTATATAAGAGATGTATGTTGTTTATGTACAAAACAGATGAAATCACATGAATGTATTGGATGTGCTCACTTGTGACATTTCACAGTTTTGCATCTAAAAAAGAGTTGAATATATAATTAATTAAAATACATGAAGGAAAGTTTTACCATGTACAATTTACATTGTTTTATTAATATTACAACATATACTTTATATATTCTAACATGTAACTGTTGTGTTTTCTTTTAGACAATACAGATGCTGGTGAATTAAAGTCTTTTCTAGATGTTAACTACAGCCTAGTTTTTCATGTCTTCTATGAGGCATTCATCACCTTTGAGGGAAATCTTAAACAAAAGGGTAAGAAATATGCCTGCCTATTGTCTAGAGCTCTGTGAATAACCATTTTTTAGTTTTACAAAAAAAAAAAAATGACTGTGTCTGAAAAAACTAAAGTATTATATTTAAATTTTTTAGTATATGGCTGGAGCCTAGCAATTTACATAAAATATTTTTTCATATTTTTCATGTTTTACAGGAACATTTGCTGTACAAAAGAGTCATAAAGAAGATTTGGAGTGTTCATTATATGTGTTGGACCGCCTCCTTTGCCTTCTACCAGAAAGGTTTGAGAAACGATGGCAGTGCAATGCTCTTACCCACATTTTCAAGAAGATCCTTCACCCTGGAAATATTGTGCGCCTACGACGAGATGCCATGCGGTAATCATTGTTCCTGTTGAATTTGATGTAACTTTCCATTGCAGTATTTGTTGTGCTGTGCACATACAGCACTTCAGTGCATCATTAGAAACATTGTGATTGCTCTTTATGATGTTCAGCTTCAGCTGTGTCCATTATGCCTTGTTGTTAATGTTATAGTTTTGAATGTAGTGATATGAAGAACCTGAGAATAATTATATATGATCAATTCAACAGATTGTTTGTGATTTGGTATATGATTGTTGGGGAGTGCAAAACAGCAGAAATGGATCGCATGTTTGCATCATTGGTACCAGGGTTTCCAGTACCTCCTCCGTCAGCTCTCCCACCTGACCTGGGCTATGGGGGAGTTACATGCTTGGAGCCATCGCCTGTTATTCCTCCTCCCAGCACAGAGAAAACACCGCCAGATGATCTGTCATCATATCTTCTCAGGTCACTTTTAGACTTCATGGTCACACAGGTATGCAATACTTTTGAAATAAGCAATTAGATGTTGAAATGTTTATAATGAATTTTGTTAATACTTTCTTATTACATGTAAGTCAGTTAACATTCCTGGATATGGAACAATTCACAACTGTAGGCCCAACAAAAGGTAGGTGGTACTTTCTCTTGTACATCCCAGACAGTGAAACTTATGTCAGAAATGATCTTACAGGCAACTGTTCTAACTATTATAAGGTACGTACAGTACTTACCTCCTGCCTCTCCCCCAGAAGTAAATTTCATAAAATAATTTAAGAAATATAATGTGTAATCTTTTTAATATTCAAATCACTCAAATCCAAGGCATTCTAAGACATACGTAGGTGATCTAGGATCATTCAGGTTTTCAAAGATGAAGATCCCAATGACAAAAAAAACTACAATACTGTATAACTATTCACAAGCTACAAATTTTGATCAGATAATTTTGTATGAAAATTTCCTTTGAAAATTTCCAACAAAATCCACTACATAGAGATACACAGTAAACCTTCATATTACACAGATTTATTTGGCACATTTTGGTTATTACAGTATTGAAAAATTGTGGCATAATTTTATATGACACTTCATAAAATCAACTTAACATGATTCGGTTTGCGGGAGGGGATAAAATTTGGAGTGTCACCTGTGGGATATTTCCCTACCTCAGGCTGCTGCCTGGCTGTGGGTGAGACCACTGTCTCTGTGGGGCTACACCAGGCTTCAAGGCAGCAAAGGATTGCTTCACCTTGCTCCTTTGCAGTAATGCATCAGGTGATTTCAAGTGTAAGCCCAGGGTTATTTACCACTCTTAAGAATCCTCGTGCTTTGAAAGGTGTAGATAAAAACACCTTAATTTGGAAGTCAAACCAGTCAGCATGGATGACCGAGGAAATATTTATTGACTGCTTTAAGTGTGATAAGTGGTTTAAAACCAACAAGTTGAAGATTGAGACACTTATGCAACATACGGGAATCTTTATTGAAGAAACGTTTCGTCACACAGTGGCTTCATTGGTCCAATACAAAACAGAAAGGTGTAAGGAGAGGAGGAGTTTGAGGTAATCAGTCCCTCAGCCTGGAGTCGATGTGTTCACTCCATCAATCTTGTAGAAAGTACAGCATAGGACTGTAGAATTGGCTTATACAGTGGACCCTCGACCAACGATGGCATCGATTAACGATAAATCCGACGTGATACATGTTAGCGCAAAAATTTTGCCTCGACTAGCGCTAAAAAACTCGACCAACACTATTCGTTCCATCTGAGACGCATCCACTTCTGGCCAGTGTTTACAAGCCAGCCAGCCATCGCGGTCACTTCCAAGCATACAATCTGAACATTTCATATTATCACAGCCTTTTTAGTGATTACACCTGCAAAATAAGTCACCATAGGCCTCAAGAAAGCTTCTAGTGCCAACCCTACAGCAAAAAGGGTGAGAATTACTATGGATATGAAGAAAGAGATCATTGCCAAGTATGAAAGTGGAGTGCGTGTCTCCGAGCTGACCAGGTTGTACACAAAACCCCAATCAACCATCACTACTATTGTGGACAAGAAAACGGCAATCAAGGAAGCTGTTCTTGCCAAAGGTGCAACTAAGTTTTCGAAACTGAGATTGCAAGTACTCGAAGATGTTGAGAGACTGTTATTGGTGTGGATAAACAAAAAACAGATAGCATCTCTCAAGCGATCATATGTGAAAAAGCTAGGAAGTTGCATGATGATTTAATTAAAAAAATGCCAGCAACTAGTGGTGATGTGAGTGAATTTAAGGCCAGCAAAGGTTGGTTTGAGAGATTTAAAGGGAAGGGAAGTAACCCCAGAAAAGGACTTGCCACCTCAAGTCCTAATGGAAGGGGATTCCCCTTCTAAACACTAAGACCATCAACACTCTCCCCTCCTCCCATCCCATCAATCATCACCTGGTCTTCAATAAAGGTAAGTGTCCTGTAACTGTGCATGTCTTCTTCAGTTTGCGTGTATTAAAATTAATATGGTAAAAACAATTTTTTTTTCATACTTTGGGGTGTCCTACACGGATTAATTTGATTTCCATTATTTCTTATGGGGAAAATTAACTTGACTAACGATAATTTTGACTAACGATGAGCTCTCAGGAACGGATTAATAGCGTTAGTCGAGGGTCCACTGTATACTGTAGTCAGGTGAGGCAAAGTAGGAGGAGGTGGGGTCATAGTGGAACCATCTACTAGTCTAAGTAGGTCTTCATCCAAAGGTTGGACAAGTTGAAGAATTCTTTGTATCAAGATCCCATGATGTTGCAGTGTTCAATTTTTGCTGATATTCCAGAGTACACAAATGATGTCACTTGTCCAATACACATCCAGTTGGCCAGTCTAATATGCACTTAGGAATGCACTGACATTATTTATACAATTATAATGCAGTAGTCTGCATAACAGTAAATCTATTTTTTTTGTGTGAATAAAAATTCAAGATGAAAAGCAAGTGTAATATAAGAAGGACCAGGAGGCATGACTAAGGAACAGAGGATTTTTTTTTTTTTTTTTTTGCTAGGAATGTCTACATTGTTTATTCTGGACCCTGTTTTTAAAATAGCAGTTTTTGAATTTGTATGAAATTGGCCAAATTACCAATTTCTGATCACTTTATTGGATAACTGAAATAGGTAAATGGGCAATTTCTTGTGCTCAGTCAATAGAATAGAAGGAATACTACCAAAATAGTTTTGAGTATGGTGGACTGGAATAATGGAATTGGCCAAAAATAGATTGCAAAGTGGGCAAAATTGCCAATGCGTAAACATTGCCGAGAATGCTAACTTTGTGAGAGCATAATTCCGTAAGTTTTCCATCGAATTTCATACTTTTTTCTTTATTACCTTCAAAAAGAGATTATCGTTTCATAAGATAAAATAATTTTTTTTTTTAAATTCTTCAACCCTGAGAGCAAGTCTGAGAGCAGGGGTCTCGACACTGAAAAGGTTAATATCAGGATCATTTGAGGTGAGCAAAAATATTACCGGGTGGTTTGATGGTAAACAGGTTAATTAGCCTACTGATACTATTGTACAGGTCGGCCATCACTAATCCAGCATCATTGGGACCTGTAGTGTGCCGGATCAGTGAGTTTGCCGGATTACAGAGTGGTTAGGTTAAAGTGCACTTAACCTATCAATAGAGACTCTTTCTGCTACATCTTCCTCATTTTCATCACTGCTTTCTCCTCCACTGGCTTGCAGCTGCGGCTTGCAGCTGTATAATGATGCAATTTGAAATTATGCTAGCTGAAATTAGTGCCGGATTGCTGACGGAACTGGATAACTGATTGCCGGATTAGTGATGGCCGACCTGTAGTTCATCTGACTATTTCCACTTTACCTTAGAATTAGAATTTTTTTTATTTCCTTGCAAGTTTACAGTGTGGTTGACAATAGTAGGAAGTTTATATTCGTAGGTAGTTTACAGTGAGGGTTTATAATTATTTGTAGTGCAAAGAGAGCCACTCTCATGCCTTGGCATTGTGGGCAGTCTAAACTTAACAGATTACAGTGGTTCCTTGTTTTTCGTAATTAATCCGTTCCAGAGAATGTGACTATTATTGAAATTGACGATTTGCGAAACCATTTTCCCCATAAGAAATAATGTACTGGAAATACAATTAATCTGTTCCAGGCACCCAGAAGTATTAAAACAAAATAATTTTTTACTTGAATTGTAGATGTACATACACAGAAAACAATGAGACATGAAGAATGAAACATTAACAGCATAACACTTACCTTTATTAGCGATTCTTTTTAGTGTATGGAAGACTGGAGGAGGGGAGAGGTTGGATTAATTACTGTTTGGAAGGAGAATCCCCATCCATAAATACTTCAGGTACCAAGTCCTTTTCCGGGGTTACTTCCCTTCTTTGTTTTTTAATGCCGCTAGGACCAGCTTGAGAGTCACTGTACACCTGTGGCACTAAATACAGGTCTCCCTCAACATTCGTGTTTCCAACTTTCGCGGGCTTCACACATTCGCGAACTCCCAACCGCCAAATTCCCAACTGCCAAATCATATTTAAGTTTACCGCCACGAGTCCTTACTACCCTCCCTCCGACCCCTGCAACTGGCAGCCAGCCCTCCCACCACTGTGTGGTGAGTGTTTTGTTTGTTCATTATTTGCTGTTCATTATTTGCTATTAAACTACAGTATAAATAATGTAAACCCATCCATGACTGCATATTAGAATGGCTATTCGGACAGGTATTGGAAGGTGACATCATGTGTTTACTCTTGAACACAGCAAAGAATCAAACATTTCTGCTACTGCTAATAATAATAATATTAATATTAATATAATAATAATAATAATAATACGATAGAATTGAAGAAGGAAATTGTACAAAAATACGAGGGTTGAAGCAGTGGTGGAGGAAGTGGTTGACACATCGTCAGTGTGGCTTTGTTTATGCTGGAGTGAGTACAGTGGACCCCCGCATAATGGACAATCCGCATAGCGGACGCTTTGATCGCTAAAATTTTGCCCCGCATAGCGCCCAAAAACCCGCTCAGCGGCCTTCGTCCGAGACGCGTCCAATGTGCGGCCTGAGCCACGTTCACATGTTCCGCGGGTGGCATTGTTTACCAGCCAGCCTCCGCGGTAACATCCAAGCATACAATCGGAACATTTTGTATTATTACAATGTTTTTGGTGATTTTTTTCTGGAAAATAAGTGACCATGGGCCCCAAGAAAGCTTCTAGTGCCAACCCTACAGCAATAAGGGTGAGAATTACTATGGAGATGAAGAAAAAGATCATTGATAAGTATGAAAGTGGAGTGCGTGTCTCCGAGCTGGCCAGGTTGTATAATAAACCCCAATCAACCATCGCTACTATTGGTGGTACAGCTGCTGCTGCTGCTTTATCACCGTCAGCTGCTGCTGCACTGTCAGCTGCTGCTGCTGTACCACCGTCAGCTGCTCCTGCTGCTGTAGTACCGTCTGCTGCTGCT